CTCCCCGGGCTGCCTCCGCGGAGCGCGGCTGCGCCGCCAGCCCAGCGCCGGGCGGCCGCAGGCACCCGCGGAGCACGACCCGCAGGGATGCTGGCTCCGGGCAGCCCTGAAAAATCCCTCCTCCCTCCGCCCTCCTCTCCCAAGGTCAAGGCTGGTTTTTAAAGCAGTGATTCATTGCCGTCCTCACCCTTTGGCTCGTCCATCGGTGCCAGCGCTCGCTCCCTCCTCTCCCCCCTTCCTCCTCCTCTCTCAGCTTCTGCCGGCTCCGAGCTGCCTCAGTGAGAGGTGCACATGAAACTGGGCGCTTTAACGGTCCATGGCTGTGGGAGGGGTTAGTTTAACTCTACATGCCTCGGAATTAATCTAACTTGCAGGCTGACCTGCAGCTTTCCTTAAAGTAGAAAATACCTCAGGGAAGCATTGCCGGTGCGCCTGGGGCTCCTCGGCGTGTGTCCGGAGGGTCCGGCAGTGCCGGCGCTAGCAGCTCGCGTGCTCCAGGTAACTGGGTCAACACAGCCGTAGCCTCCCCGTTTGCTCCTTTGGGGCTGTAATCTGAAGCCGAATTGCCCTTTCCCTGAGAGACACCGATGCATTTTGGCTGTAGATTGCAATTTGTCAGTCTTCAAAGTCACTTAACACTAAGCAGATTTCCTTAGCTCCGGGGGAAACGTGGAAAGAACTAGCCTGAGAAGAGATAACCCTCTTCATTTCCAGATAGGAGGTCCAACTCCCAGGGGAAAAGATAAAATTTGCAATAATTGCTGAGAAGTCACCTCCTGTGTCTGCCTGCCCCACAGAATGAGCTCTCTCCCCTTGCTGCAGGTCATGAGGAGCACCACAAAAGACCACTTTGTAGCTACTTGCCAGGAAAGCCCAAAGAAACAGTACCTGCACCTTGTGGTGATCCCCCTGGTCCGCAGTGCCTGTAATCTCCCCGATCAGCTCTGCACCATCCCAGGCAGACTCCACAGGAATGAGACTACAAGACAGTCCTGGATGAGCAACTTCTCTATAGCTTCCTCTGTCCAAGCTTCCTAGCACCATATGCCCCCCCCCTTCACTCCAGCCTTGGACCATTAGCCTCCCACTCCAAAGGAAGCCATCCACCACTACATGCTTCCACCTCCTTTTTCAAGCAGTAGCCTCCAGCTTCCCACCCCTTAAGGCTCTTCCACTCACCTCAAGGCTTCCCCAGTGCTTGCCCAGGGGAGAAGACACCACCAGCAGTAGCCAGCTGTCAATGCCCTGCCTGTGGCACAGCCAGCTGCTCTATCACATAGGCTTTGCTTTTACTGACTTGCCTTCGTGCTTCTGGAGACTACTGTTTGCTCCTTACCCACTGGACGTACCACCACAGCCTACTGCCTGCCAGCTCCCTGTCAACCAGCTGCTTCCCGAGAGACTGTCCTCAAAACCTCCATGGCAAAGAGTTTTCTCTCCCTTAGTAGGAGGAGGCAGGCAGACCACAGTCCCTGCAGGCCAAGACCAGGACCTGAGTAACACATCCGGTATCAGGGCTGGTATCTGGATGAGGTCTTCATGAAGACAACGATCTGACACTAATTCCCTCTGATGGTGAAGTTTCCCCACAACTGTTTTGCTGCTTGCTGCAATATCTCTAGACACTCCTTCAATTCCCTTCTCAGATTCCTTTATTAAACTCCCATCTGCTGCCTTCATTACAAAATGAACTGCTCTTATTTACAAGCATAAAATTGACTTAGTCTGCATTACTGTAATCTGGGTTATAATCTTTCTGGGAAAGA